GGGGGGGGGGGTTTATGTATATACATAAAAATATATTTTTGTTTAGATATATATTTTTATATATATTTGTATAGATGCAACTAACCAGGATCATAGACTGGTTAGGGTTAGGCTGGGCCAGGCAGGGGGCTGGCTCTCCCAGTAGGTTTTGGGGTTTTTTTGGGAAATGTGAGTCAAGAGTAAACAGCAGCAGGGTGTCCCCAGGGTTCCCCCTGTCCCCCAGCTCCTGAGCTAGCAAGGCACTGACGGGGTGTGGAGTGGACCAGAGCTGTCAGGATAGAGTTGGGGGTTCCCCATCCCATCCCAGGTGCTGCCCAGTGTCCCTGCCCTGGAGCTGACCCCACTCCTGGAGCTGGCCACCCGCACCCAGAGACCTCCCCAGGGACCCCGCTGCCCCAGCCCGTGCTCATGGCAGAGGGTCAGCACTCTGGGGGCTCTCTGCCATCACAGAATGAGGGCACTGAGGGGGAGGTTCCACCTCAGCCTTCACCGAGACAGTCACCTGCTTTATTCATGTGTTTATTTATTTCGGTAGGAAAAGCACCTTATTCCCGTTCCTCGTTAGCCCCAGGGCCCCACCCGCTCCCACCGCCGACCTCCTCCCGTAGTTCCCCGGCTCCCAGGCAAAGCCCAGCCCGTGCAAACCCCGGCCTTGTGCAGGGGGCTGGGGGAGAAGCTGCCTTTCCTCGTGTGGGGGAAGCCAAGGGTGTTGTAATCCTTTCTCGGACAGAGAGGAAGCCGAGGATGCTCAGGCGCACCCGGGCTCACACGTGTGTGTTGATGCCGCGCTGGCACTGCAGGCCCGGCAGGATTTCAACTCCCCACACCCCCTCGGGTTTGTTTTGTTTTTTATCTTAAAGATTTTCCCGCTTGGCAGGGGATCCCGGGGGGAAGCGGCTGGCAGAGGCGGAGCGGGGCTCGGCAGCGCCGGTGCGGGCTGAGGGCGCTCCCCGGAGCGGCCCGGGCAGCCCGTCCTGCCCGACAACCATCGCTCGCTTCAGTGCCATTTCTTTGGAAAGCTCGGGGCACAGCCGCGGAGGAGGAGCGGCGGCGATGCTGTCCCTGCCTCCGAAGCTCGGTACCCTCCGTGCTGCTCCTCTGGCAGGCTCTTCCCAAACAGCCGGCGCGTTCCGGGGCAGAGCCGCCCGCCCCGGCGCTACACGATGCCCTCGCTGCGTTTGCTCCTCCACACCACGAGCGCCGTCATCAGCAGGGTGACCAGGACGGGCAGCACGATGAAGGGACACAGGACGCCGTTCGGGGGGTCGTGCAGCGCCCGGCCCGACGGGGAGCAGTTCCTGAAGTATTGTTTGTGCACGGCCACGAAGAATTCGTCCACCAGCCGGTTGGGCCAGTAGCAGTCGAGCCTCTCGGCGATCAGAGCCGTGCAGTTGGTCAGCTCCCCGTAAGTGCTGCGAAACACAGGGACACCGGGTGACACCAGCGCCCAGACACCGCCACGCCACCCTCCCCCCATGCAATGTGAACTGCTGTATATATATAATGCACATAAACCACAAAATACATCGTTTATAACATATATCTATGAAGGCAATATATATCCCTCCCTGTACAATATGTTATATTCTATTACAGAGGTGTGTACTTGAGATTGTACTACAGCTGTTATTTCAGTTCTTAAATTTTTTTAGCTGTTTTTTGAGTTTACACGTAGAAACACCTAGCCCCATAAAAAGTACATCGTGGGTCTTTGCAAATTTATGTAACCTGTAAACATATATGGAGTTTTGAGTTCATAGCTAGAGAGGTAAAAAGGTAAGAGGGTATTTTTAAACTCCCACCAGGTTTTGCCACTTTCATGGCAACTTTTAAGTGCTCACCCACAGCCGAAAGTGATTTTCATTTACGGAATGATGTGGGGGTGGTGGCTTAATTTACAGAAGGAAATGAAAACTGAAATAGTATTTACAGGAATAACAAGAAGCTAATTTGGAGTCTTTTTGTTTGGTTTGTGCTAATTTTTGCAGAATTTCCTGGCTGGACTGGTGCTATTAGAAAATACAGGCCAGACCCACATTTTAAGCAGAGCCTCAGGAAACCCATCCCAACCTTGCCTTCGGAGCACCATCCTCCAGATCTTGTGTGAGTTCAGCCCAAAGAGGGGACAGAAATAAGTACATTGAATCTACTTAAAAATCTCCTTTAATTTGCCTAAAACTGGGGAGGTTGCATAGAAAGCAGCTGGGCAGGCCCACAGCCCATCCCACCTCTCTGTGACCTGGAAAAGCAGGAGTAGCCCTGAGCCAGAGACACTGTCCCTGTGCCAGGCCATCCAGCCATCCTCTGGAATGACAAGACTCCCTGCTTTAAAACTGGCTGTGCATAAAAACTCAGATACAATTTCCCCACTCCCCCCATCCCAATTAGTCACATCTAATCCTAGAGAAGCAAAGCAAAGCAAACCCCAGCTCTCCAATTAAAAACTTGCCTGGGGGAAGAAATATTTTCGAAGCAGCTTCCTGGCCACTCGGCACAGCCCCTGCTCAGCTCCTCAGCTGGGGTTTGGGGTTTTGGGACAGGCTGTGTCCACACAGCCAGAGATTCAATTAATGGGGTCTGCAGCTGCTAAAAGCAGCTTCTGCCCAGCATCCCAATGTGCAAAATTACCATTTCCCATTCATCAGCATCCTTAGGAGATCTCGGGAGCTGCAGCATCTTCAGGAACCAGAGGGAAAGTGTTAACAGGCGAACAAAAGCTATTTTTAAAGCTGAAGGGCCATAGAGCAGCTGGCTTAGCCCTTCCCTGGCTCCAACTGCGCTTCCATGGGGATAAATCACTGCTCCCATCACTGTATGTGAAGACATGCAAGGAACCAAAGCCCAGTGGTGCCAGCAAATGAAAGGATAAACTGTCACTGCCCTTTCTGGGGAGGCAGCAGCCGTATTCCAGCTCTCAGCCACCTCTGGATGTCAAGATGGATCTGAGAAGAGGAGCTGGGCAGCCACAGCCCCATGAGCAGTGTGGGGGGACAAGGAGGGGCCCATGGGGCTATGATTGGAGGGAGGTCCCTCCATCCTCCTGGGGTGACAGGTTAACCTAAGTAGTCTCTTGTCCCTTTTATTTTTGCTGTTTTCATTACAGCCCCCCTGCTCCAGATGGCATCCTCAGCAGGAGCAGGGTGGCATCATGGGCACTCCCACCCTCTAGCCCCACAGGCCTGAGTGGAGAGTGAATGGGAGGGTCTCAGAGAGAAAAGAAACTCTCCTCAGGGATAGGTCCAAGTGCAGAAGTGACACCAAGGGCTGCTGAGCTCAAGGCTGGGTGCTCCTCGAGAGCCGATTTCTGCCCTTTGCTTACACAGAGCACTCTTGACCACTGTACTTCTATCAACAGCCAGCTGAAAGCAAAGCTGAGCTCTCAGCTATGGCCAAGTGCTCCCATTTCTTCCACTTCATCTCACAGACCCCCCAAATGGCCCTGTGAGACTTCATCATGTCCTGTCCATCCCAAATGCACCCTGTCACAGGGCATTGGGGAGCTGCTCCTGACACAATGGCAGCTACCACAGCAGGATACCACCAGGATCCACTGGCTGGGGAGGGATAACCAGGGTTAGCCATCGGATCCAGAATGTCCTGTCAGAGATCAGGATCCCTCTGGAGAGCAGCAGTATGGATGTCTGGGCCTGAGTGTGCTCTTCCCCACCGCAGCCGTGGTGAACATTCATCCTATCTGGTTCTGTCTCCTCTCATGAGCAAGGCCACATTATTGTGATAGCACCAGGCCAGCCTGGTCCCACTGGGAATTCAGCTTGGGCTGGTGGTGAAATACCTCAGGGAGGGGGGGGGTTGTTTTCCTGCTCAGCTCTACCCTGTTCTCACTGCCCTGTTCAGCCCAGCCCCAGAAAGCCACGTCCCCCCACACACCCCACCACGCTCCGCAGGGCAAAGCTGAGCCAGGCTCTGGGGGCTGAAAAGATGATCCTCAGTCACAGAGTTAAAACCCTTTGGAGAGAGGGTTGGAGCAGAATGCTCTGCCTACGTGGGGCTTGAACTTTACCCTACTTGTGAAAGTTCTCAGGGATGGATGAAGCAGGGGGGTCACGATTTGCCCACATGAGTTACATCAATCTCTACTCAATAATTATTCTGCTCATTTTAGCAGCTTTGCTTCAACAGTGTTTCAATAAATAGGGCTATATATTTAACTACCTATGCTATGTAGTAAACAACTGGATCCAGCCAGGCCTCACCCCAGGAAATTGAAGTTAGGTGTCCTTCCTGTATCTCCTGACTCAACAGGAGGGCCTCCCTAAGAAACTTTGTTCCAAGCTTCCATTCCGCCTGTAGCAAACGTGGATTCAATTTTTTTGCTTTCAGACAAGCCCACAGTTCCTTTGTAAGCCTCCATCTCCCTCCCAAACACCATCTCCTCCACAAAAATACTAAGCAGCTGCTCTAGGATAGCAGTGGGAAGAGGGCAAGTTTTCCCAAACAATCCCACCACTGCCAGGAGACAGATACCTGACCCTGAAAAGCTCAGCTGTGCTTCAGAGTATTTTTTCCTTACCCAGTGGGAACTGCAGTTAGAACTGTTATCCCTATCACCATGGAAATGGTTTGGTTTTAAAGGATGCTGTGGATGGACTGCGTGGGGATGAAGGGATGCAGGCAGGATGGGGATGGGGCTGGGCCACTGGTGGGAAGCAGTCAAAGAATGATCTAGGGCTTGATGGCATCTGAATGCTTATACTGCTATAAATCCCAACAAATTCCTCTGGGTTTTTTTACCACTGCAGCCAAGACTGGAATGGGCTCTGGCATTTATTCCTTGACAGCACTTGGATGTGGATGCACTAGGCCTGGGGTTCACAGGATTGGCAACTCTCTCTCTTCACTGCGAGTATCCCAGTATTTCCTATCCTCCCTGAACTCCTTGCTTCAGAAGGGAAAAAAGAAAACACCACGAGGCTTCGCTTTTCCTTTGCAAATGAAAACATTGATTTCCTCCTCTGCAAGGCTGCAGGGTGAGCCTGGAGCCAGGCTAAAGGGGTATCCAGAAGGGACCTGGCAAGCTGAAGATAAATAAGTAGGTAATGAGATAATAAGAGAATGGATCAATCTGTTTTCTGTAAATAATGGATAAATAACCTGAAGACAGAGTGTGAGTGTGCTGACAGCTGGGAGAGCAGCTCCATCCCTGGCTGCAGCTGTCAGAGCAGCACGATCCCCCCGCTGAGCTCCTTCCCGCAGGACGCCCGCGGCGGCCGGGGGAAAGCATTCCATGGGGATTTTCAGGAATGCCACAGGGTGGATATATTTGGGATGAAGATGCCTGGCTGGGCTGGAGTGACACGAGCAGCTGTGGCACTGTGAGCATCCCCCTGTGCACAAACCCTCCTGTAAATCCATTCCCTGGCCACGGCCCTCCAGCCAAAACCAGGCGGGAAAAATATCCCCAAGTCATCAGCTCCTGCTGACGCATTCGTGGGTGGGCAGTGGCAGCCCGACCCCTCCACATCCCTGAAATAGCTGCCTCAAGGGAGACCACAGCTAATCCCCCTGGCTCAGCCACCACGCTGATAAAGCTGGAGCTGGAATCAAAATAGCCAAGCTGATCTTTGGGATAATGCATCGGGCACAGCTGAACTCCAGGCCAAAGCAGCTCGGCCACCACCAACAGAGTGGAGGAACCCTCGACACCAAGGAGCCCAAGATGCAGCCAAAGTGTGTAACAGCTCACACAAGTTCTCTCAGCCCATGAAAAAAAACTCGTATATCAAAATCCACCCATTTTCCCTAAATAAGCAATAATAAGCTAAGAAAGCCAGCAGAGCTCAAGGGGGTTGGATAAACCTTCCCAGAGCGTCAGTGCTTTTCCACATGGCCCAACCCCACCTCACCCAACACTTCTGCTTCCCCACAGACCCCTTGGTGACACCAGAACACAGCAGGAGCAGCGGTGCCAGAGCTCAGCTAATGCCTCTGAGGGCGAGATGGAAGCAGCATCTGCTGCCTATAACTAGGACCAGTGACCCACAATTGCAGACTCTGGTGAGACAATTCATTTATCCAGATGTTCCCATTGTGCTATCCTCAACTGAGCAGGGAATGACAGAGCTTAGGGGCATTTCCCTGCTAAATGCTGCATCCAGGAAATTGGAGCTCCAAACCAACGCTGCTGGTGGTACAGAGGTAAAACCTCCCAACATTTCTTGTTTCAGACGGGTTTCAAGCATCAAAATGCCTTAGTTTGGGGGAAGATCTGGAGAAAACAGGCTCTAGGCAGGTGCTTTATTTCCATTTCTTTGTCTCATACCTGGTGGAAGACAAAATCCATCCCCTAGAGCCAGAGGGGCGACCAGCCAGCTCTGCCACCCCCTGCCCATTCCTGCTGGGACATCTTCCCTCTCCCCAAAAAGGGGATGGTGATTCCCACACATATCCAGGGAACAAGATGTTGAGCCCACCCAAACCCCATATCCTTGCAGCTGATTTACTGCAGTAACTGAACTATTTCTACACAATTTCTCCAGTGTCCTAAGGGCACAAGAGGATGAGAGGAATGTCATCTCTCAAATAACCCTGAGCCATGTGTTTGCATGGAGCAAATGGATTCAGGCAATCAAATTAAATCCTACAAGCTTATCAACATTTCCTCCAAGTGCCTCAAGCATAACGAGTTTAGCTGAAGCTTTTTAGGAGACAAACAGGGCATGTGAGATAAAGAACAAGATGGTGAGGGCTGGAACAACATCAGCAGCACTGGGCATTTCTGAGCACCAGATGAAGCTTCTCAAAACCACAAACCTCCCAGACTTTCAGCTCTCTTTTCTTCCCCTCCATTCCGCCATGGATCAAGGGGAAAGAAAACCCAGTAGTATGTTTAGAGTCACAGAACAGAATCATCAAATCATTAAGGTTGGAAAAGATCTCCAATACCTTGGAGTCCAACCTTTGACTAAAACACAGATACACATAAGTGTGTAGGTTTTAATTTCACACAGAAGAAAGGGCCATGAAGCAGGAAATCACAAAAATCTCAAAAAACCTCTTAATTTTTTTGCAAAACACTCATGGCACACAGCACCATCTGCTCCCTGTTTCCAGCTGACCCCCATCCCCACTGGTGTCACATGAGCTCATTTTTGTTCCGCTGCTTCATTTTCCCAGGGAAAAGGCACAACATGGAAAGTCAGCTGAAGGGGGAAAGAGGGCAGTTACTCTCTCAAGCCCTCACACCAACACACAGCCACCCCTGAGCAGTCTTTCAACTTCAATCAAAGCCATCTCAGCACATTTACACCATGGTGGTACCAAAGGATTCAGCTCTTCTGGTTGTAAACAGGAAAGAGCTCATCCAAAGAAAGCACTGTTTGCAATAAAAATAAAACCAAACCCAAAGGAAACTCCCCAAAAAATTCCAACAAACCCCTGCAGAGCAGCACATTCTCCATATGTGACACCCCTGGTCTCCTTGATGGGGTTGCACTGACCAGGTTTCCCTCTCCACCCTCCTTATTACCCCACAGAGATGCTCCCAAGTATTCCACCAGGGAAGCAAGGCTGCGTCTCCACTGCTGCCATCGTAAATCACTGCTTCCCCTGACACTGATTACAAACAGGAGGCTTAGCAGGTGGCTGCCACTGCCATACCATTCCAGCCTCTCCCTCTAGTTGCTTGGAAAAATCAACACACAACTTCTGGAAGCAGGGGCTGAGCCAGCAGCTCCTGTGGGACAGTTTGGGATTTTCTCACAGCGAGGGTTTGAGGATATCTCGGTGGGTTATGGGGTTTTCACGCTGAGTTAGGGTGTTTTGTACTGTCTGGAGAACCGAGAAAAAAATGAAAAATTTCATGGAAAATATGTCCATCAAGCTGTGAGGCACTAGAAGCCCCCGTGATGGGGATCCCAACCTGCCTCTTCATTAAGCCATCAATGTCCAGCACACAGCAGAGTCATGGTCTTCTCCTACTGGAGCTCCACTGCTGTGTGGTGGAGCATGACCACCACCCTGACTTCCAAACCCTGCCTAGGCTGGGCTCCTTGAAAACCCCTTTAATCCCAGAATGGCTGAGGCTGGGAGATCCTCTGGAGATCCACTTCACCTTGTCCAAACACCCCTGCTCAAGCAGGGCCATCTGCAGCTGGTTGCTCATGACCACGTTCAGCTGTTATCTCCAAGGAGGGAGACTCCACATCCTCCCTGGGAGATCTGTGCCAGTGTTTGGCTGCCTTCACAGTGCAAACCCATTTCCTGGTGTCCAGAGGGGACCTCCCATGCCTCAGTTTCTGCCCATGTTTTCCCACCAGGACACTTTCCTGGTACATGTTCAACCTGGTGCCCCAGAACCCCCAGGTCCCTTCCTGGTTTCTCTCTGGGGCAGCCCCAGCACATCCTGGTGTCTGGTCCTGTCCATCCTCAGGTGCAGGACTTTGTCCTTCCCCTTGGTGAACTTCAGGAGGTTCCCAGCTTGCAAAGGTCCCTGTGTACGGCAGCACAACCCTCTGGTGTCACCCACCCCTCCCGGTCTGGTGTCATCTGAGGTGCTGTGGTCACCCTCAGCCCCATCACCCACATGACTGATGAAGAGGTTAGGCAGGACAGTGTGGCCCCTAAAAAAACCTCACCCAAGTCTGGGCACACAACATCCACTGCTCCCTGCTCCAAGCCCTCCCTCCATATGTGAGACCAGGCGGGAGAAACCCCTTAGGGACCCAGCAGGGACAGAGCCAGGGCAGCAGCAGCAGCCAAGAGAGTGAAATCAGGGCGTTTCCCCCCACAAAATAAACCCCAGTGCTGACACCCTTTCACCCCAAAACCCCAGCGGGGAGCAGGACGAGAGGGAGGAGCAGAGGGAGCTCACTTACCCCACGGTCTCGTCCCAGTCGCACCAGAGGCGCTGGCCGATGCCCTCCATGCTGAGCTGGAACTGCTTGAGGCAGTAGTGCCGGATCATCCAGCCGTAGTCGGCCTCCTGGCACGCCGTGGCCGCGATGAAGTGCTGGGCTGCAACACAGGCCAGGGCTGTCAGGCTCTGCTGGGGTCACAGCAGCACCACAGCCCCCTGTCCTCACCTGCCAAAGCACAGCTGATCCCCACAGCAACCCCAGCTCTTCAAAACCTCCTTTTCTCGGGTTTATTCCCCTCCTCGCACCCCTGGGGCCCTGCACCCTCCCAAGTGCCTGGCGCTGATAAATCAGTTTTTCAAGACACGCTGGGTAACTTGGAAATTAGTAAGGATGTGGATTTGTTCTCTGCTGATCGCCCAAAATGCCTTTGGATGTCAAATGTCTGGGTTTTGGGCTTAAAAAACGAGAGTGTGGGGGAAGCTGGGGAATGAGAACCCTGCTGCTGACCCCTGAAAAACGCCCTGCATTGGGCACAAATATCCACCTCTGACAGAGCACAGGGACAGACACAGAGAAATCCATCAAATCCATGCCTGGCTGCTGATGGAATTCCCTCCTGGGAATGTGTCCCTGCAACTGCTCCAAGAACAGGCAAGAGTAAGGTGCTGCTTACAGCCTCATGCACAAACTGTGCAATGCTGCTGGTGAGGGGAAAGGAAAGTGATGCTACAAAGGGAAGGGGAAAAAATCCTTTGGGGAAGTGTTTTAGTGAGCCTGGCTATAAATAATAGCTTTCCCTTGGTCCCAAAGTGCCAGCTAGTGCCTTTGCAGGTCCTGGAGTGCACTGCAGCCAGGCACCACATACCAGATCTATTTTTTGCTACGTGTGAATATCTCTGTGCTTTATTTTTATCTGATTTTTTTAACACAACAGGATTGAGCTGCTTATTTAGTGGCCAAGAGACATCACCGTGGGACACCATCCCTCTGCAGCCTCCAAAATCCTCGGAGCACTTAGGTACCAGCATCCTATGGCAATGGGTGGGAAGGCAGGTGGGAATTTGGGTGGGAAGGGCCCCCAGAGCCTTGGCTGATGTTTCTGGATGGGTGCAGTGCTCCCATGCTGCCTCTGACAGCAGCAGCCACTTTGGCCTGACTTGAGATAAAATCATGGGAGTTACCGAGCCAAGGGAAGCTAAAGAGCATTAAACCCTCATTGTTGCAATAATAAAACCGAGTTTATCAAAATCTCAAGCTCTGCCTAGCTGATAGCAGCCAGGGGCACAACCTCAGCCAGGGATAAGCCCTGATCCCAGATGGGAGGGTTTGACATGCTGAGGGAAAGCACAGAGAAGAAGATGAGGAAGATGAAGACAATGAAGAAGATGATGAAGAAGAAGAAGAAAGAGAAGAAGGAGATGAAGAAGAGATGATGATGAAGACGATGATGAAGAAGATGAAGACTATGAAGAGGAAGACAAAGAAGAAAAAGATGAAGATGAAGACAAAGAAGATGACAAAGAAGGTGATGAAGATGAAGAAGATGATGAAGATGAAGAAGATGAAGAAGAAGATGAAGAAGAAGACAAAGACAACAACAAAGATGTCGAAGATGACTAAGAGTAAGAGGACAAAGAAGAAGATGAAGAAGATGAAGAAGAAGAAGACAATGAAGAAGAAGATGACAAAGATGACTAAGAATAAGAAGACAAAGAAGAAGAAGAAGGAGATGAAGGAGACGAAGGAAAAAGAAAGACAAATGTAAATTATTTATGAACTGCAAATCTCAGTCTGGGCAGGCTCAGGGATGGTTGATGGCCAGGAGGCTTTTGTCCCCTTCCCATCCCTTCCAATCTGGATGAGTCAAGTGAAGGAGTGACACGGCTGAGCGAGCACTCAGGAGCCACCCCAGGGGTCACCGCTCGGTGACGTCCATGCACCGGACTGTGAAGGACAAGTGCCCTGTAAATATCACAGGCATCACTTGTCTGGACAAGCAGCTTGCAGAGAAAATGCTGCTGGGGAATGTGTCAGGTGCAGAGCAGCAGAGCACAGCAAAAGGACAAGGGGAGGAGAAGGGATTAAAAAGCAGATAGATGAGCAGCCAAGGGGATTGAGGAGCACAGGAGGAAACAGAGCCAGGAAGGAATGAGTGAGACATCCAAAGCACAGAGAGAAATTGAGGAAGACGAAGCCACTTGAGGAAATTCAGCAGTGATGCAGCACAAGCAGTGAGAGAGAGAAGCAAAGTTAAGCAAGCACGGCCAGGCTGCGTTTTGCCTGGCTTTGCTCCTCCCCACTCATTTGAGATAAGCCCAGAGACAAGCTGTACCACAACTATCCTTAGGGATGCCCAAATGCTTCCTGATGACCACACAGCTGTTTATGCAGAATGAACCTGGAGGAAAACACCTTAACCTTGAGTGAAGAGAGGAGAAGTACTGAAAAAACCACGGGGAGGAAGCAACCACAACCTGGCTGAAAGTAGCAGCAAGCCACAGATGGCTGCTAGCCAGCATAAAAATCAGCCCTACTATTAAAATAAAATCCCAACCCAAACCAAGTGAAAACCAAACCCTGGGGAGCTTTAAGCTCACAGCAGCTCAGAAGATGCAGCTCTAGAGGTCCTTCAGAGGCAGGTGAGCACCTTGCTGTCCCCCTGGCAGCTCCTCAGGAGCTCTGTCTGCCCCACCAGAACCTGCTCCTGGAAGATGCCTCTCCCACACCTACACATGGGCTCTGCAAATCCCTTTGCCCCAGGGACTGGGGAAACCAGAGCCATCAGCCAGTGACCTTTTCCAAGGACATTTTATTTTGGACATGGTGAAGGGCTCTTTTGTTTCACACCCCAGAGCAGCGAGGCCCAGCAGGGCCCGTTGTGTCAGTGCTGCGAGGATGGAGCCAGGTAAAAAAGCTCTTTTGTTTCCAGCTGACCAGGAGAACTGACTTCAGCTGCAATTGCACAATTTAAGGTCAAAGTGAGAAGCTCCTACCATGTTTCCACATGGTTCCCAGCTCACCCCACAGATCCCTACTGCTTCACAGATTTTTCCCCAACCCCACTGGGGGACAGACTGGGACAGGCTCAGCATTTGTAACAACAATGGGGGGAAAAAAAGCAGGGAGGGATTTTTGTATCTCCTGGCTGTCATTCCAGAAGGTTTTCCTTCTGCCCTCAGCCCTGCTGATGGAGATGGTGTAAGTCAGCTGCAGTGAGCTGTAAATAACTGAGCTCCAGAGCAGTCACAGCTCTGTACTCAGCAGCATCCATCTGTGAAAGCTGCAAGGAGCTGCTGAATAACTGAGCTCCAAAACCCAACTGTACCAAGGCTGAGCTGCCTCCAAAGAGCTCCCCTCTCATGGGCCCCCTGCCACTGCCATTCCCTCAGGAAAAATGGCACTGAGAGCTGCAGGAATGCAGTGCTCCTCTGGGAGCATCCCACTGGAGCCATACAGTACCTCCAAAGCCCAGCTTTGTCTTTAGGTGTCACATGGACACAGAGAATCATAGAATCCTGGAATGGTTTGGGTTGGAAAGGACCTTAAAGCCCATCCCATTCCACCCCCTGCCATGGGCAGGGACACCTTCCACTATCCCAGGCTGCTTCAAACCCTGTCCAGCCTGGCCTTGGACACTTCCAGTGATCCAGGGGCAGCCCCAGCTTCTCTGGGCACCCTGTGCCAGGGCCTCAACACCCTCACAGGGAACAATTCCTGCCCAATATCCCATCTAACCCTGCCCTCTGGCAGTGGGAAGCCATTCCCTCTTCTCCTATCACGAGAATTGTTGATGAACAACCTTCCCTGCTGAGAGAATCCCTGATTGCCTGTTAAAAAATGCAGTATTAAGGACCCTTCGTTTGCCTCCTCACAGGAAACACCTGGAGAGCAGTGGTGAGGAAGTGATTGGAGGGATGGCTTTTGCAGGCATCCCAGATCCTCATGATTGCCCTGGGATTGATGTCCTGGAGAGTCCCAGCAAGCATCCACCAGGACTCAGCTTACTGAGGGTTAGCTGCAAAAAGCCTGTCATGCATTTATTTCAGCAGAAAAAACAGTGTTGGTCCTGAATTGTTACAGAAATTTCAGGGAGAGAGAAGCCAACCAGACCTTCCTACACTGCACTTCTCAGAGTTGGAGCCTGGACCAAGAGCTTGGGGCCACCTCTCCAGAAACAGCTTTGGGGGACCCCTCTGTGAACCCACACATTTGTGCTTCACCAGAAAAAACCCTTGAGCTTTCCCTACAAGAAACATCCTTCACATCGATATCCCTCTGCACAACTCCTTGGTCTCTTGCCTTTTTCTCCTCAGTGTTCCAGGAATTCCAGGAATTCATGGGCTTGTCTTGCAGGGATGTGCAACCAACCCCAAAGGGAAGCAGAGGCAGGGAGGATGCAGAGCCTGAGAACAGATCTGGGAATTTCAGACTGACACAGCACAGGGTGTTCCTGTTTCCCAGGCATTTCTGCAAGTACCCCTGATGATGCTGGGTGAATGACAGAACTGTTTGACAACACAAGCAGAGAATTCACCATCCAGCTAGACTGTCAGGATTTTTCGGGGGGAAACAGTTCAGGGCTTCCTATCAAAGAGCAGGAAATAGGCAGATATGAATCCAAAAGCTGAAGCCCAAAGTTGGCAGATAATTGCCAAGTGACACTCACAGCAAGGCTGGCACTGGCACATGTGGCACCAGCAAAGCTCTGGGCTCGGAGAACAAACACCCCAGTATCTTCCCTTGGGCTTCTCCCAAATTCTCAGACCTCCCCTGTGAAATGATTAGTGCTCCCAACAAGCCCCAGATGGAAACAGGCTGTTTTCCTCTCCTCTTCAAGGTGGTGGTTTTGCTGTTTTATTGAGAAGGAGCCTCGTGGTCTGGACTTGGCTGCAGAATAAAACACTCACAGGGTGGTGAGGAAAGGACATGGGGCCGGAGAAGAAGAAGAGTGTGAAAAACATCCCAGTTTGCAGCCACAAAAATGGAAAAAAATGCCCTTCCAGCATCTGTAGAAGCCTGGGAAGGGTCTGCTACCCTCTGTTTAAAAACACCTTCCTCCACTGAAGCAGCCACCAGCTCAGCAGGGGCTTCAGAGCTTGCAAACAGCCCTCAGTTTTCTTTTTTGGTGGAAAAATCTAAGCTGGTGTTTGGCTGGAA